TCGGGTTGATCGTAACCGATGGTTAGAGATACTGAGCGATATGGCTGGGTGTCGTAAACAGTGACGTTCGTGCATCTCCTCAATTTCTTCCCAACCTTGGTCCACTGAACTTCTCCATTTTCCTTTCGAATCCACTTTCAACTTTCCTTTCTTCTCCTATTCTTCATCCCAATGGGCAACCAAAAGACAGCAACCAAAACCGGCGCACAAAAGTGCATGGTTAATGGTTGTTCAAACTGAAACTGAAACTATATGAGTTGTAATTTTGAGAACACAGCGATGTCGGTACAGGTGAAAATAAGGTGAAAATAAAAAAATACATTCGAATCGATTGGTAAAATCGTTTTGATAAAGGTTACCCACGGTTACCAAAACGTCGGCTTATTTTCACCTTTACCGACATCGCTGTGTTCTCAAAATTGCAACTTATATAAAAACATCACATGGTGCATCGATTTTTCGATACACTCCGAACGTCGTTTGAATCTGACTCTCTGGACGGCTCATTCATTCATTTATGAACTTTTTTGAGGGTAACTACTTAAAATAAATCATTGATTAGCAATAAGGATCACCTATTAAAATCGCGAGATAAAAGAGTTCATTCAAAATTCCCCTTCCATAAATGTGATGTATGGGGAAAACTTTCCAGTGTTAACTTATTCCATAATTTCACACCCATTCAGCAGTATTTGTAGGGCATGTCGCTCGTGCGAATTGGTACTGATCAGTCCCGATTAGAAAGCATCACCCATATGAAGAGGTATCAGAGTCGATATCTGAAATCATCCTCGCACCTCTAAATGGGCACTGGCTACCGTATACACCCTCAATTAAACAGTTAGTTTTAGTTGCCTCCGAAGCGATCGAACTATCTCCGGATGCGCATACTCGCCATAACCCGAAATGCCATTGGGATGAAGTGTTTAATCCCTGACCTCTGTGAGTAAAATGTTTCAGTTCATGTTCTAAACCTTCCATGTCCAATATCAACAGAAACACACTTCACCACGGTATGGATTGCCATGCTACGGATCGTGTGACATCCGTGACTTATTCATCCAACTCCATCACGACCGAGTTCACACACAAACACTCATACCCCAATGAAAATTCACTCATTCTAGATCCCATCGGTCTTGAGCATCATAAACTGTACCGGCGAGATTAGAAATTCTAAAAGATATTTTTACTCTAATCTCGTTTCTAACTTACTTACGGATTTGCTGTGATATTCTCACACAGCAATGATCTCGTTTGTTTTGTTGAATGCAAAAATGTACCAGGAAAACCAGGCAGTCACGGTGGGATTCGAACACACGACCCTCAATGATGAATTACTTTACCTGATAACTTCCCAAGTATTGATTGATTGGCTTTTTGTAGTGTTTGGTAACCAGAACGTATTTTACACTAGGGAATGATAAGTACTAAAAGTTCATCTGTATCGAATATACCACTTAGATTAGCATTGTTGCCCATTCACAATCAATAGATTTACACCGTCATCTTCCTTCATAGAAGTCCCTGTGGTCTAATTTTCCAAATAAACAATAACATTTATCGAGAATAATGTTCCATACAAAAATCAAACACGAATAATCAAACAATCACATTGTGTCGGAGAGGGTGGAGTAGCATGAAATCCTCGAGAATATTTCCATTTTCTACCACAGGACCGCTTTCTTGTCCGGTTGGTTGAGTGGCTATAGGTCCACGATATAAACTATCGCCTTGTTACCAATCCTACCCCATAGGTCTTGCTTCAACTGGATAACTACATTCCATCGAATGGTATACCGCGAATCAATCTGACCTATTCACTTTCTCTGCACAGATGCGAAAAGTCTACAGTACTGATGTGTGGGCTTCAATTCAGATTTCAGTCAGGTATAGGAAGGTTATACTTACAAATCGGGATGGAAAAATTTGATAAAGCAAGTTCAGCACATTTATACGGGTCCTTGAGATGTATAGTGTTCTGTATTAGATGTTGGCTATTGGTCAGCTGTAGTCGTGCACTAATATACAATTACTTGACCCTTGCCGGTTGGGACGTGTGTCAGGTAAGTCTATGGATAGAACTAGTCAATGTCTAAATATATTACAAGACAGATGGTGGTTGAATGAAATTCGTCGTTGGTTAAATCGCAATGTGGCCTGAAGAGTGTGGAAACTTTGATCTGTGGAATTCGCCGTAGAGATTGAGTTAGGCTCTCTTGATCGATGGATTCTTTTGAATTAGCCCATTTTTGGATTTTCGAGTGAGTGGTTAACACCTGAGGATGTCATAAACCATGATAATAAATGCAACTAATCAAATTGAACTGGTTCTATTCCGTAAAATTGTTTTGGTAGCGTTCTTTCAGTTATACATACCAATCTGCCATTCTTTTGGTCATCGTGTTGTTTACAATCAACGGTTGGAAGGTAAACAGAAGATAAATGTCTGAATAATGCAGTATCCCTCCTCTTGATGGACTTCGATGAATTTTTCCTAGGTGAAATCAGTTGTTTAAATGGATGCAACTCGGCGTCATTACTAGATGGCGATCCAGTGCTTTCAGTCCTAATCCGTGGGGTACTCCGAGTTTTGAGGTTCGAAGTGTAAAACCTACCAGTGAGGCACTTATGTGGTTCCCTCCTGCAGTTTTTGCGCTTCTTTGATCGATTACGCTAGGCCTGTATTACCTTGAGTTTCTATCCTTAAAAACCTTTCCACATTGAGTACTGTGATGGAAAACCAAACATTTCTAAGGCCATCTCAGCGAACTTGTGAGATGCAAGTTATCTGAAACTAGTTGATTTGCCAAACTGCAACCTCCTAATTGCATCTGCCGTTTCTATTCAGATGGTTTCTTACGTTTCACTGATTCATGTATTCCCCCATATTCAAATTGTCGGTAGTGGTAGCGCAGTGTTTTAGTGACATCACTTGTGTGCTTTAAACCCTATGGTTCGGGGTTTGAGCCCCACCACCGCCATCTAACTTTGGTGGTAGACAGCCTTGCTATCTTCCGGTTCAATACCACGACTGACCCAATGAGGCCCTATGTGGTTCATCACTCCAAGTCCCGGGGCTTAGATTATCGGTTTCCATCACTGAACAGCAGGTACTCGTGACCAAGGGGTCCAACCCGTCTGCTATTCGTCACACAAGTGTGTGTGAAATAGAAAAAAATTATTTGGTGGATTACAGAAGACATACTCTCTGGCAGATTTCATCTCCTATTTCACGTTTGTTGAGTGATCTAAATTGGAAAACATCAGTGCTATCGATGTGGCCTTATAGCCCAACTAGCGGGCTTACCCTGTACAGGGGGCATAGACCGTGTTCATGTATGGGTTCAAATCCCACCGAGGCTACTGAACTATTCACAAGTTAAAACAGAAGACAATTCTGCTAGACATTATTTGGCTTTGTATCCTCTTGTTCGACTTAAGTTCATCTCACCACAATTGTTTTCAAGTTAAGTCAAGTCAAGAAAAGCTATATGCACCCGAAAGGTGAATTTTCAGCAGTTTACAAGTTTTACAGTGGATAGGTAAAATAATTGTAAACAGAAAAAATACAGTATGAGAAATTCTGCACTTCAATAAATCAGAGAAAAATTAGGGCAAGAGTTTTCCCTGAGGTAGGTAAGGATATGCTGACGATTTACTAATAAACGAACTAAGTAAGGAATTACACTGTTTCGATATGTGGAAGTCCGCGCAGGAAGGAGTTGATATTTGGAGCGTGTCCGGGGAATTGACAGGACTTTCACGATATCTTGGTGCAGATTTTGCCCTTGATCATGCGTTATCCTGTCAACGAATGTATCACAAGCGTTAAGATGCTTGGAAATAAAGAAATCAACTAAAACAGTTTTATCAACTCCATGGTAGTGGGACAAAAGTTTAAGGGATTTTGAAATTAAAGAAAAGTCTTTTTCTTTCAGTCCGGGGATAAAATTTGGGGGGCAGTATAGCCAGTGTGGAAGAATGCAGACAATCACAAATTTAATATTTAATTAATTTAATTGATATTTAATTTGTTCAGATCAGTGCAATTTTTCCTATTCGAACGAGCTATTAAGAATTCAGTCAATTTTGTCGTTCACACGTTTCACTTTCCGTTTCCTTTCAGGACCTGGCTCTGCAAAATGCACCGTGATGGCTCCCTGTACGCAGAATGATTACATGTCCTATTGGACACCATGCGATTCCACCGGGAAGGTAGGTCTGACAAGAATTACCTCATTTTACCATACTAGTTTGGGTAACTTGAGGTTGTTTTTTCTCTCCAATGTTTCAATCACGATTCCTACCCGCATGCTTTCTCCCCTTTTGGTCTGAAGTAGTCATGCAAAGCGAAAAGTGCGCTGTGTGTGTGCATTTGGCTTCATTTAAACTTGTTGCCGGTCGTTCTGTGTACAATTGTCGTTCCCTCGTAGGGCTGCATTCTCACAGTAGACCAGATGAAATATTTCACATCGTGGACCGTACACGTTAGCGAAGAGCAATATTATTGCCTAGGATAGCATAATTAACGTGAAAGTAAGGATATACTATGGAACGTTTGAACAGTGTATTTGTGAAAGATAGGTAAGCAGGCGAATGTCTGTTTCCACCACATTCAGACAGTCAGGTTAGTTACCTGGCAACCGAAAGGTAGAAAAAAAAATCTATTCGTCTGTCAGAACACTGTTGTTGTCTATGAGGCCTATTTCGCATGCACGCGTGCGCGCGCACACGCAAATCTTACCTTTTTGACTGTCGTTTAGAGCAATGCACTCGAAAAAATCACAATGGTTTGGTTGTTGCTTCCACGGGAATTTCACTTTGTCAGTTATATACTACTAATTTACTGTTTGACAGTCTAATCCTGATGCGATTGGGGAAAAAATAACCACAGAAAATTCGAAAAATACCGTCTAACTTAAGTTGTTTAGTTTTTCATGGAAGTGCTTTATTCAAATTGTTTTATCCTTCGGATTTATATTTTGGTTAGAAAATCAGTACCGTTTTCTCTCCGGAACTCCTGAATTCATTCCGGATTGGACTGAACTTCATGAGATCCTCGGTAACTTTATTGTTCTCGCATAAAGTGAACTGCGAAAATCTGTCCTTCTGTAGAGTTTTTCTAGAAGACATTTTGCATATCGTACAATCCTATGTGCTTTTGAGCCTTGATATACCGCGCCAATGTTCTGTTCATGTCTGAAAAAGAAATTGAACTCTTGGAATATGTTAGAGCTATTCAATAGTGCAAATACATTTTCTATTGACGAAATTGAGGCCAACATTGACTAATCTACCCAGCAGTTAATACACACACGAGAATGAAAGCTCGTCTACTACACACACACTCACGTCACCAGCGGGGTCTCCGATTGATCAGCAGACCTTGTTTGTCCGGGGAGTGGCTTTGTCCCCCACACCGAGTTTCATCGGTCCATATTTGGTCCAGTGTGTCACAGACTGGAAAAAAATAAAATCTGGTTATCATTGGTACGACCCATCAAATCCGTGAGTTCTGACTGATTCACCTGCTCACGCACATTGACAGGGTGACGTCATCAGATGTGTTTGTTTGTGAGTTGGTTAGAATTCGTGGAAGCCCTAACAAAAGACGAATCTCGAAAATATACATAGGATATCATTCTGTGAATGTCCGACAATATATGGAAAAAAAGGAATCGTGCGACTTAACTAAAAGTTATCGTTGTCAAGTGACAAGGGAAATGTTTTTTTTTTCGTTTTCAGTAGGCATATCGGCAATGGGGAGTGTAAGTCGATTGAACGGGTTGGGGTAGGCGAAAGGTCATGAATGCATGTAAATGTATCTTTGCAGTCACCAATACGGAATCAGTTGAGTCACAAGGGTATTTTGAATACATGAATCAAGCTTCAAACAATTGACGATCAGGGAGGGACTGGGTAAACCTAAGCACTTGTGAATATCCAAAAAGGCCCCTTTTTTGGATGTGATGGTATCTTGTGTCTAGTAAAGGATGCGCTATCGTACTGTCCGTAATATTTTTGCATCAAGCAGACGAATTATTCGGAATAAGCTCGAGTAGATAGTTGATGTCAAACCATTTCAAAGTACTGAGACCCACAGATACACTGGAACTAGTATGTGCAATTAGAAGTAGCTGAACTATTTTAACTGTCCCAATTCGATCGGTTCACTGGTCAAGATTTCTTCTTACGAACAGCTACTGTATCAATCAGAATGATGAATTCCGTTGCCACCATGATCGCCTGATCCACTTTTCTGATCACCACCCGCCCACTCTACTTAAATGGGATGTGAATGAAGACGGTTTTCTTTTGAACTGATATGATAGAAAACATCGGGATGAAAGAAGCATCATATTGGTGGAAAAATGAGTGTGTGTGAGAGAGAGAGTACTAACGATTATTATTCGACCTTTTTAGCTCATAATCAGAAAATAATGACTACAGAGACATCTTGCCTTGTTAAACAGTGTACTTACTATTCCATTCTTGCATTATAGAGGAAAGAGGCTTGAAAAATTTCACGTATTGTTCTGTGCATGTGTATATTTATGAAAGATGCTCCAAGCGTACCACTTCAGCCTGGTTAGGTGAAGATCCAGATTCTATGGTACATTTACTGTTCGAATGAAACCCAATCAATTGTTAGGCAACCGTTCGGTTGTGCTACAATTAATGTGTTGTCCATACAATAACGGTAGAACATGTGTGTGATGATCGACAAAGGTCTGTATAGGGCTCATCAGCAGTGCAATGTGCAAATGTTCCGTCGCCGTCCAACTCGCACCGTGAACCTTTGGGGTTGTCAAAGGAAGGAAACCTTCACCCACCCCCTTGAGCTATGTGACCGGTGTTCATCCAGTACGTCAGGATACTATAGAAGTTAACGCAACTTCCAAAATGCGTTTCAGAGTTGACATGAAAATGTCAGCCATAGTCAGACAGAGTAAACTACTTATGATTAAACGGTCTATTTGTTCGCAGATTCTTCAGTTAACAGTGAACTGCGTATTCCAGTTACACAGTTTTAGTAGGTTTCTTGACTCATTTGCCAGAAAGTAAACTTTAACACCATGTTCACACCTTTCATCCTCGAAGTCCGTGACACGGCCAAGAAGGCAAGATAACGTTTATCGTGATCGAAATTCACCAAGATACATTTTGAATGGAATGAGTCTCTCATTCTGAAGCTTCTAAAGCTTGATCGAAATAAAATCAACCTGCAAACGAATTCGAAAACACACAGACCCTCATTCCTGTGCATTTCCTTGGAGTAAACCCAAACTTTTCTGAACGGCCTGCTTATGCCGTTGATCATGGACTGTGCAGCTGAGATTGTAAGGAGTTCACTCACCCCCAACCAAAATATTTGCTTACTGAGTTCCAATAGGAAAACGAAAACGCTTTGTAGGGTTATTAACAGAAGTGAAAAATCGATTTAATGCTCTATGTCGAATAACACAAAAAGTAGTCATGACAAATTTGGTTTTGACATTGCACTTTCAAGCGTGAGAAATCCTATCTTGTCTCTTAAACTATCGAGTAGATGTCTCAAACTCAACGAACCACCAAAGCCCAACCGACGTCATACAAAAGAGTAAAGAAAANNCCATCCTCTATTCACCACCTGTTCGTCCTTTTGTTCCCCACTTGTTGCCATTTTAGCGACAAAAACTTTGGAAGTGGATTCAGCCGAAGATATGCAACGAACAGATTGGAGTCACTTTACCCGCACCCGAAGCACCGGTCCCTTGTGATCCCTGTCCACTGGGAACCACACTATCGGAACGGATGCAATGCATACCTTGTCCAGGTAGTAGTGGTGAGAAAACTAATTCACCTACTTGTCTATCATGCGATTCCGAACACGTGCCGGCATTCGGATTGATCTATTCAAATTGGTCGTATTTTCCGCCGTTTCTTGATACTCAGTGCCGCAAAGCTTTCGGTAAGTGCAGATCGAAAACCCGGAAATAATTGGAATTCAAAGTTGTTTGAGATGTTTGAGCTGATCACTTTTGTTTTGACCCTCGGTTTCAGTTTAGATCATCACTATCGTGTGGCGGTCTCGGCTGCTGTCTTTTATTTAACAATTTACTGGAAGGAATAGAGGGAAGATTGTAATGCGGAAAGTGATGTATATGTATGTGAAGATAGAGAAATCAGATAGACTAAGTTTGTGTAGAAATTGAGAAGATGCACGGGCGTTACTGTTTACGGCACTCAGCCTCAACAAACTGTTGCAGTTTGGCGTCGACAGATGTGTTCGAACGTCGGTTTGCATTCTGTTCACCTGACGGCCAATTTCCTGGGTCATACAACAGCACCGACCGAAGTGCTGCTGCATGTACCCTCCAGATATCTGGATGGCATCAGAGATGTCTCAAGTTGGCAAATATCAGTTGTTGTGCATGCAAAATTTTCATCCGTGATCTGTCCGCCGGGTATCCGGATAGTAAAATTGTTCACCACCTCAATTGGTTCTCCAGTTAAGGTGGAGTCTGGAGGTTTGAACCAACCCAGTCCTGTAGCAGCATTATGTACTTTGAAAGTGCAAACTCATGCAAAGTATAGATAGTTACATTAATTAAGCATGACAACGTGAAAACACAATGTTGAACAAACAAACATTTTATCACTCCTGGTCACGCAGCCATCAGTACGATTGCTAGTCTCAGAGACAATGCATGATTTTACTTCCTGTTGGGTCTAATTTCACACGAATTCAGCACCGAGATTTAGCCTGGAGGGGCGAGCAAGCCAACTTGCCCGTAGGAATGAGTTGAAGCGAGACATAATCGATTGTGTTCGCTAGGAAAAGGTGAGTGATTCTTTTCATTTTTTTATTTCAATAACGATGATTCAATGGAGTGTTCTTCCTCCACCTGGAAGTCAACTGTGGTGGTGAGAGGAAGAACACACTGAGACAGCCACATTTTATGGATGGAATAAGTGAACGCATTTTTCATCTAAAATTTTACCAAGATACCTTAAACTGCTGTATAATACTCTATAGAAGATAGAAAAGCAATCACAACGATGCGCGAAAACCTAACAACTATATCATAAATGACCATTTAAATACGGTCTCACGCATAATATTAGAATAATCAATAAATTGATAAACACAGGAGTGGAAAAGAGACAGAAGATTAAGTGTTATTAGTGCGAGCAGCGGCAGCAATTGTGATTAGCTCTACGGTGACAAACCGGAGGATTGCCGAATACGAGAATTCCTTATTAGCAAACTTCGAAATCAATTGTAGAGAATGAAAAGTTCTCTATGTGCGTACATTGCTTCAAACAAGACGGTTTAAACGCGGTCGAACAGCGATGAATTCACTGTCTTGACAAAATCCTTGATATTTGATTGTTCGCACAATAATCACATCAAAGACGTACAAACAGTCCACAAACACCAAGAGCTCATCACAGTAGTTGCACACACCAGTAGCATCGACAAATTAGATTTTACACTTCGCTTTACCTCCGGTCGACGCTAGGGAAAGTATGCTGTGGCTGTTACCGAGAAGCACTCTTTCCCTCATATTGCTAATTTTGACTTGGTTACTTGGCATACGCCTTTGTGAGTAGTCTAAGAAACATTTGGTAAAGAAATGGGGAACTCGGAGAGCAAAACACTACCGACGTCGGTGCATGATACCCTGATGCTGGAGCATGAAGATGTTGGCGTCAACATTGACTTCGGTTCAGTACCACATCTAACCTGAAGGTGTCTTATGCGGCTTGCCACATGAAGTTCCAAGGCTTAGTTTGCCGGTTTACATGTGTAAACAACACAGATCCGCATGACTACGGGGAAAGATATCTTCGATTTACTTCAGATACCTATCAGAAAAGACATACCAATTAAAGGGATTTAGAATCATAGTGCCCATCTGTTTGTTATTGTTTGGTGTACAGTCACTTTGCGTAAAAGTGCTAAATCACATGAAGAAGTGCAAAATAAATAGCAACAGCCCCTCCGTTCATCCTACATTTGCTGATTAATTCTTGATGGGAAAATAGTTGTCAGTGCATTAGGGTCTGGTGGAAATTGTAGGATTTTCACCGTTCTGATTCCTCGTCGATGGACTGACTGATTCATCAAAGCAATCAGCTTCGTCGTCATTTATTGAAACCGGGTTGATCGATGTCTTCACCAACCGGGTTCATTCGAGCAGTGTGTGTGTTCAGGGTTGAGTGAGCCACATACACACACACACACACACACACACGTGAACATGCGCACACATAGCCATACGGGACTGCAAATTTACATGAATAAGAAATCGATCCATTTCTGAATACCCTCTCTCTCTCTCTCTCTCTCTCTCTGTCGCCTAGTGTTTGCT